AAAACATAACCCGAAATTGGTTCAGCCCAGAGCAGATTATAGGCAGAGAAAGGTGCAGGGGGTGGGTTACACCACAAACAACCCTGACCTACTTAACTGTTGTGCCTGCCACCTGTCCTGCCCGAGGCACAAATCACTGCTCAATGTGCAGGTCTCAACTGGCTGGATTTCTAGGTCATCCACTGGGCCCAGTGCCTGCCTGGCCCACCTGCACCAGATAAAGGACCGGTAGGGCTGTGGTACTTACTGCTGTTGGGTGGTGAGGAACTCACAAACAGGAGGCACTGAGGTTACACATCAGGAAGGACCTTGCTGGTTTCAGCTGGGAAGGATGTCATGCGAGTTCAGGATCCTAGGAAGCTTAGGATCCCTGGGATGTGAAAAGAGAAGATGCCTCTCTGGAATGTTTTGGAGGCTGGGAGGAAGGTGCACCAAGCCTGCATTACATGCCCCCCTATCTCATGAGGCCGTGTACCTTTCGATGCTCTTCACTGCCTGGGAAGTCGTGTGTGTGCGTGCGTGTGTGCGTGCGTGTGTGTGAGAGAGGGAGGGAGGGAGAGTGTGTGTGAGAGAGGGAGGGTGTGTGTGTGTGTGTGTGAGAGAGAGAGAGAGAGAGAGAGTGGGAGGGAGGGAGGGAGGGAGGGAGAGAGACGAGGACTGAGAGACACAGAAACAGACTTAAACTTACCTGGTGCTTTGCAGTTTACAAAATATCTTTCTATCCTTAAAACTTTTCAGCCTCGGTTTTCTGGAGTAAAACAGGCATGGCAATAGTCAGCACTCCATAGGATTATTAGATCAGTGGAGTCAGTATATGTACGAGGAGCGACAGGTGAACGTTATTCATTAACTCAGTGGAGTTTCACAACCGGGAGAGGTAGGCAAGGCAAGTAGTATTACCCCTGCTTTACAGTTAAGCGGCTCCGAGATGGAAAGTGCCTGGCTCAAGGTCACTCGGACTTAAGGGGCAGTAGAGTCTGGACCCCCATCTGCCAGGGGTCAGATGAAAGGGGCAGCGTGGATACAGGCCGCGCGCGTCACGGGTGACGTCACTTCCCCCTCTAGCGGCGGGCGGGGCTGAGCAGAACCCAGGTTCCCCTCGTTCGCGACCCGGCACTGCAGTTCTCGGCTGTCCCGCCCGAAGGCTGTGGCCGTTCGCACTTGGCTGGGGTGAAGGAAATGAGGCCTGGTCCTCGAAGCTTCGGGGGCTGAAGATGCGGGGGAGGGGGCCAGACGGCATGCAGGGGGAGCAGCGAGCCCACCAGGCTGAGGTCACCCTAATGACTTTTGGCACCACGTGTCTCTAGGGTCCTCACCTCCTGCACCCAGGCTCTGCCGCAGACCCCCTTAATTTCCTTAGCAAGCCGTACATGTTACCCCGTTTAAAGAACAAGGGATCTGGGCCACAGAGGATAGGTGGCTCGTGCAAGGTGACACAACTGGTACTTGGCAGGCCCAAAATGGAATCCTAGGCTCTTAATCTGAACCATCACCCAACCCGTAGGAAAGCATGGGAGGGGGTAGCTGTCATGAGCACAAGCCCCTGCTTTGTGGGGTCCTGCTGACTCATTTAGCACTTGCCCGGCTGTCTGGAGCCAGAACGCCAGGGGTTGACTGGCAGGGAGCACCAGGACCGCCGAGGCTGTGAGGGGCTCTAGTGAGCACATGGTCTCCCAGAGAGCACCCGTGCAGGAAGCCAGGTCGGGCGGAGATGAGCTGGAGAAGCCAAGCTGCGACAAAGGGCCCTGATGCGTTGGGGGGCGGAGCAGGGGGAACGCCGGCTTTGCCCATCTCCACACTCACTGCCGACCTGCCCCAAGAACCAGCCTGGCCCCTCTCCCTCAGACTGCCACTCTTCCAGTGTGTCAGGACTTGGGTTTCAGGCAGGGCCTGCCGGCCACAGCCGGGCTATCTCTTTAAGGTGACTCTGCACTTCTCTGCTCACATCCATTTTGAATCCCTATCAGAGTTTAACATCCTGAGGATAATTTTCCCAATAATTGGGGGGTTCCTGTCAAGCACCTGCCCCCACCATACTCGTCCCATGTTCACCCCAAAGAATACAAACACAGGTATATTGCAGTTCATCCGTTATACCCGACGCTTCACTTCTATTTTTAAGGACTGCTAATTTTACTGGTGCTCTTAGCTTTTCAAAAGTTTGAAGCTGCAACAATTCACCATATAAGATTAAACAAGAGGGAAATTTGTGTTGCAGTGGCAGCCACCCCAGGGAATACAGCTGCCTAATACACAGACCACCGCTTGGGGCAGAAATGTCGCACGGAAGGAAGGTGACGACCAGCACAAGTTTAGCCCTTGCCCACCTTACAGGAAGCAAAGGACTAAGAGGAAAAGTGGCGAGGCCCCAGAGCGGCCTGCTTCCCATAGGCGGTGTTGTCTGCAGAGCGCCCACCTGTGGCCGGGGGCTATCACTGCAGTTGGGTCGGCAGGAACTTTTTTTTTTTTTTTTTCCCGCGGTACGCGGGCCTCTCACTGCTGTGGCCTCTCCCGTTGCGGAGCACCGGCTCCGGACGCGCAGGCTCAGCGGCCATGGCTCACGGGCCCAGCCGCTCCGCGGCATGTGGGATCTTCCCGGACCGGGGCACGAACCCGTGTCCCCTGCATCGGCAGGCAGACTCTCAACCACTGCGCCACCAGGGAAGCCCTGGCAGGAGCTACTTTTCCTAACCCCCCCGCAGAGCTTCCCATTCTCAGGTGAGGACACTGAGGGCATGAGAAAAACGAGTGAGACTCATATTTTTTGGCATTTGCATTAGAAGAAAACTTGGAAAAAAGAGGCTAGTCATTTTCTTCATCAATTCCAGTTCAGAAAGATGCGACTGTAATCTAAATTTGTCCTTCAAGCCATTGCTGGAGTTGTGAGAAACCTACTTAACACCCATCTCTACCTCGTGGGAACAGGCACTGAAATGAGTGCTACCACACAGCTGGAGTCTGGCCTGTGAAGACTGTGAGGCTGGACAAGCAGACGCAAGGAAGCAAACGTCTTCAAGTACCTCTGGGAGCTTAAAGAGTGAAAACATAGAATGTAGACCCAAACCTGAAACACATGAGTCTGGTAACTGGAGTTAAGAGCACAGTCACAGTTACAAAAGTTCTGAGGTGCAGAGGGAGAAGGAATGGTAAACTGGCTGTCGCTGGTGGTGGTGGTAACCAGGAAGTGTTTGGCGTGCCCCAGGGAGAGACCCGCCTGTGACTAAACGTGTTTTCAGCCTATTCTGCTGCCGTGTGTGGGACGGGCTGCAGGAGACCTGGCAGGAGACCTGAAAGGCCAGGCAGGAGGCAAGAAGGGACCCAGGGAAGAAGCACAGGGTCCCTGAGGGGCTGTGGTGCTGAGGAAGGAACCCAGAAGGACTCTCGCAAGTGGAGATGGAGTGAGAGGGGGCAGAACAAGGGTGCAGTTTCCTCTCGGCCTCGTGGCCAAAGGGCACCGCAGGGACGAGAGAACACTCGGGGCACCCTTTGCTTTTGAAACTGATAGGAAAGAACACCTTGTTTCCCACCAACCCTGGTTTGACGTGTACCCTGGGGTATTTCTGTGGACTCCAGTTCCCCCTATGATGATATATTTAACTCCCCTGTTAGGACTTCAGAGCTCATCAAAAGCCCTTAAAAATGTGCTAACAGCCCTTAATGAAGCCTGAAGCCTTCAATTAAACTGTCAGAAATAAAGCTCAGACAGCAGTGCCAAGGGCGTGGGGGGTGGGGGCAGTGGCAGCTCAGAGCCCAGAGCTCTGGTTTCACTTCCTATCTGGAAGAGTCCTTTTTGAGAAGGGGGACCCAGCAGTACGGCCCCCTCCACCGACGCCTCTCACGGTCCCGAGCCACCGCACACCTCCCTTGGCCAAAGTTTGGGAAGAGAAAGGGGGCCCAGCTTCCCTGAGGACACACAGGCCCCTTGTTCGCCAAGAAGTCTGCCTTGACTTCGGTGTCAGGGCCGAGTGCCAGGCAGGGCAGAACCCTTGGGCTGCAGCCTCTTCCTGTGGGAAGTGCAGCCAGGAGCTTGGCGGGACAGGGTGGTGGAGCTGGTCATTTGTAGAGAACTCAGTCCCCGGGCTGTGGGGTGAGGACGGAGTGGAGGGGGTGACCGTGAAGACAAAAGAAAGATGGGGCACTGTCTCCACCCCTAGGCCTATGAAAGAAGGGATGAACCGGCAAAGGAAAATGGCCTTTCTCCGTCTCGGCCAACAGTCTGGGTGTCCTGGCTCCAGGCCTGTCCCTCCTCTGCGGCCCCAGCAGGAGGTACTGTAGTCACTCTGAGACTAAGAGGACCAACACCCACCCGCACCCCCTGTCTTGGACCCCGGCCCAGTGCTGGCCAAGGCCCATCTGGGTCAGGCTCATCCCCCCAGACTCAGGCTGCCATCCCTCCAGCCTCTCCAGGGCATGAAGCCATGGCTGGAGCATACAGGGAGCCATGGAGGGGGGGAAAAAAAAGTTTATTTAATCAGAGAGCCTTTGAAGGCACCTGGTTTGAGTGTAAAAAAAGGCAGTAAAATGGCAACTGTACAGGGTTCATGACGGGCAAGAACATGGAGAGGTGGAGGGAAGAGGCACATGGGGAGAAGGGGGCAGAAATACCAGATAAGACTTCAGAACAAGCAGTCCTGACCCCTAGCCACCCCTGGTACAGGCAAACAGGTAGACACATGACACACACTCTCTGAGACTAGGAGCTTCTGCCGCTCTGCCAGGCAGGGATCGATCAGAGCCACGTGCGGGGGGCGGGTGGGGGGAGCACGTGAGCAGACACAGAGGCCGTGTCCCCTCCCTCAGCTCTGACTCTCAGGCCCACAGTGTCCCCACCGTCCATCCTCAGAGGCTCTCTCCTCCAGGCCTGGATGCTGGGCCCAGCACAGGCCGTGAGGCAGCAGAAGTCGGCTAGAAGAGAAAACCTCCAGAGGACCCCTGCCCATCCCTGGAGGAGAAGGAAGGCAGGAGCAGATGGCCGGTGCCATCCTTCTGTCCATCCTCGGTCACACGACTGCCCGGAACAGGAAGGAGAAGACAGCCCCCAGCGCCAGGCCCAGAGACAAAAAGAAGGCCATGATGGCTCCAGCTGTCTCTGCCTCGGCTGGCTTCACTTTCCTAAAGGAGGGAGGGTGAGCCTACCTTAGGATGGCCCCTACCCCAGCTCCACCCAGAGCATCTAATTCTGCTTACCCACCTGTCACACTTCCCCTCTTGAGGGGATGTGTACTGCGGCTGTGTCTACCTTTCCCTGGGAGCCCCTCCCTCACCCGACCCCTCTCCCACCCACCACTGCCTGGGACCCTAGGGCCAGCGGGCTCCTCTCTCAGCCTGGACACCCTGAGCTCCAGGATCAGGAATCTTCTTTTGCCCTCTCTCCCTCTATTGGGTGTCCCCCACTGGAGCACTAGCCCCCTCCTGCGACCACCACACTCCCCACTCACTTGGGCCCAAAGCACATGCAGAGACTGGCGAGATAGCCGTTGGAGAAGGCGAAGGCAGCCATGAAGAAGATGAACCAGGCATCGTGCTCGAAGACCACAGCCAGGTTGCGGCGGGGATGGACGTTACACAGCAGCAGCAGGGGCACAAAGGCCAGCCGGGCCAGCACCAGGATCGGCAGCCAGCAGCTGTCCTTCCCAGGCTGCGGAGACCAGGCAGTGGCTCAGTCAGGCTGCGCCAGCCCCCAGGGCACACCCAGGCCCCCAGGGCTCCATTTGGGGTCCCTCAGGATCTGAACTGAAATCTCAAAGCCTAGTTACCCTTCAGGGGTACTGCCTGGGAGGGGGCATGATAGAGCCTTCTAGAGTGCTGCCCATGTTCTACATCTTGACCTGGGTGGTGCTTATCAGGGGGGTGTGTTGTGTGTGTGTGTGTGTGTGTGTGTGTGTGTGTGTGTGTGTGTGTGTGTGTGTGTATATACAGTCATTAAACTGTACACCTACAACTTGTATGCCTTACTATACGTAGACTGTGTCTTGGTTTTTAAAAAAGCATGGTCGCCTTTCCACCATACTTTCTTGGTTCCCTCTCTGGGTCTCAGGCTGGATTCTCCCCTCACAGGGTCTTGGTGCTCCCTTCCTTCACTTACCCACATGGTGAAGGCTGTGAGGCTCCGGCCCAGCCAGTCAAAGATATTGAAAGTCAGGAAACAGGACACAGGAATGAAATAGTCTCCTGGAAGAGAAAGAGTAGATTAGGGAACGGTTAGCGGGTCCAAGAGAGGCGGAATCTGCAACCCTGACCCTTGTTGGTACTCAGTTTTCCCAGCTGTAACATGGAGAAGATGCTTCCAGCCCAGGGAACGGCAACTTGACCAGGAGAGTCTGGCTGGGGAGACAGCAGTCCAAGCTCCCCTCCCCTGGAGTCCTAGCCCTGCTGGAGCCCCTGTCCTTCCCCATCCTGGGAACCCATGGGGTCCTCACTCCAGGCGCTGGTGCCTGCAATGCTGGACTTGACCTCAGCAGCCACCGCAGGAAACATCCCAATAGTGATGGTGAAGACGAAGCAGACGGAGAGAGCCGGGACTAAGATCTGGAGGAAAGGGACTCAGGTCTGTGTCTTCATGGTGGTTGTGCATCATTAAAGAACCAAGATTCCCCAACACACACACACACACAGATACACACACACACACAGAGACACACACACAGACACACACACACAGGAAAGTGGCCAGTCTCCAGTCAGAAAGCAAGGGGATGGGGTCTTCCCAGGTGGTCCAGTGTGTAAGACTCCGCGCTCCCAATGCAGGGGGCCCGGGTTCCATCCCTGGTTGGAGAACTAGATCCCGCATGCATGATGCAACTAAGAAGCCTGCATGATGCAACAAAGATCCCATGTGCCACAACTAAGACCCGGAGCAGCCAAAATAAATAATTAATTAATTAAAAAAAAAAAAAGAAACGGAGAGGATGGGCAGTGCCGGGCAGTGGGAGGGTGGGGTGGGGAAAGGAACAAAAGGAGAGAGAGAGGGTGAGGGGTAGAAGGCAGGATGCCCAAGCCCCACATACATTTTTGAGGATGGCGCAGACAGAGTGGCTTTCGTTGGCGGGCTGAGAGTTGGGGGCTGAAACTCCAGCCTCCTCTTGGCCTGCTTTTGACTCCTCTCCTGGGGGGTGACAGGTTGTGGAAGGATCTTCAAGTTGTGCGAAGGACAGAGCAACAGATGACACAATCCCCAAAAGGGCTGGGGTCAGCTGGGGGTGGACATTCCCTTAACCAGTGCACAGCCGCGCCCTGACATTTAGCCCAGACGGCCTTCGAACTCCCACTCTGCAAGTCCCCTGACCTCTCCCAGGAGCCTCAGGTCAGGTTACGCCCTGTCCAAGAATCTGAAGTTGCTTCCCGACATCCTCAGGCATTCAAGGCCACCCAGGATCTCCCCCCAGCTTCTTTATCCCAGCCCCTATTTACTATTGTTACCCCTCACCCCATCCCTGGTCCCTCTCGCCTCTGGCATCACTGCAGCACGCTCATTCTTGCCCTCAGCTCATGCTGCCTCCCTGCTGGGCAGACTGTCCTCCACCCCAGCTTCCTCAGGCTCTTCAGACCTTTGCTAATGAGGTCCAGCTTGGTCTCCTGCTCCCCGGGCCCTTCGAGCTTGAGCTGCTGGTAATAGCGGTAGAATTCCTATCAAGTGAGGGAGACCAGGAAGGTGGATTCAGAAGCAGAATCTCCAGAATTTCCACCTCCCCCAGGTTTCATACCCAGAGCACCCTTGATCTGGAGTCCTGGACCCGCCCTAGGCCCCAAACCCGGTGTTCTCCAAGAACTCACCAGCCTCGGCAGGCCCAGATAACAGGCGATCGTCAAAATGATAACCCCACAGGCTGTGATAAAATAGCCGAAGGCACTTTCCGACAGCTCCGAGCCACCTGGGGTGGAGGGTGTCAGCGATCAGAGACAGGCCCCGTCCCCTTCTCCCCACAACAGCCAGGGCGACAGGCAGACAGATGGCAAGACTTACTGGCGATGGCGCAGATCATGGCCACAGAGGCAAAGAAGCCTGCCAGTCCCTGACCACTCATGATGGGGGCTGTGTAGTTGGCGGGCAGGAGGCCGGCCAGGCCAAACAGGCTGCCCTGCAGGACGGCACCGAACGCTGGGGAACAGGGTGGGCATCAGCAGGGGAGGGAGGAGCCGGGTGGGTGGCCGGGGTCCCTGTAATTCCTGCTTTACTCCCAGTAAGTCTTGACGCTGAGCGGCCCTTCTCTCCCCACTCCCAGGGCCTCCTCTCCCACACCTGGTCCATGCCCGCTCAGGCTTCTGAATCCTGATCACCCAGAGGGAGGAAGAGATTTCTCTCTGGCCAACTGTGGGTGTGAAAGAAAGGGGCAGGTATGTGGGAAGATCTCTGCCCCAGGTCCCCACCCAGCCCCGCTTACAGTTAATGAGCATGATCTTCATCATGGTGATAACAAAGAAGGGCAGAGCATCCAGGGGCACCTTCACCAGGATGGCAGTGATCAGGAACACCAACAGGATGGCCACCAGGCTGCCCAGGATCCGCACAGACTGGGGGATCCTGCCAGAGAGGCCACGACGGCAGAGACGGGTGGTAAAGCCAGGGGCTCAGCCCAGGGAGGGCACGAGGCAGTGAGGGGTCAGGGTGGGGGTCCGGGCACTCACCTCTGATGCAGGAAGGAGTTGAGGCAGGTGAACAGCAGTAGAGGCAGCATGGCACATAAGGTCATGACGTTGTTGAAGATGGCGCTGAGATAGTTCCGCTCTGGCAAGGGTGCTGAGGGGCTGGCCGAAGCCTGGATGTCCTTGCTCGGTTCAGAAGCGATCAAGGACGCATTCTGGGACACGTCCAGGCGGTTTGTGAAATACTGTGAGGGTTGCACAGAGGAGTGTTAGAACCTCTCTCCCCGTGCCCACAGCACAGATCCAGGCCCTACGTGCCCAGTGGACATGCCCCTGGGAGCCCATCCCCCACATCTCACCGCAGTGGCTGTCATGAAAAAATTCCAGGGCAGCAGCGTCCCCAGACCCAGCGTGAAGAAGATAAGCCAGACGGCTTTGTACCTGGGGATGGGAGAGGAAAGTGAGGCCAGGTGACTCACCATCCCACCCTCCCACCCAAATCAAACCTGGGGCAGCCCCCTCCCCTTCTATCCCTCCAGCTGTCCCAGGGCACAGGGCATGCATCCTCCTATTTGTGTATGTGGAGGGAGAGGTGGCCTGGGATGGGGGAGAGGGCACAGATGAGTCCCGAGAGGGAAGGGGACCAGGGACATAGGACTGAAGGGCATGGCCAAAAGGACCATTCTCAGCCCCAAAGACTCAGGGGACGCTGCAGGCTTGGGAACCAGTGTGACCCACACATCCGGAGGTGGTTTTGGAAATCCTGCTAAAGGCTAGGGGTGGGAGGGTGAGTGAGAAAGCAAACACAATTCTTCCACCCCCACCAGGCAGGCTGGAAGTGATTACACTGTCAGGGCAGGGCTGTGTGGCTCTCCAAAGAGGATTCTGAGGTCAGGAAACTCCCAGACCATTCTGGATCTAGGAGGGCAGGCAGGCAGGGAGCCTTGGGACATCTGGGAAGTGAGGGAGCTGTTTTTTCCTGGCCTAGACAGAACCAGCTTTGTAGGTTGCACCACGTAGGAGAGGCCAGGAGGGACCAGGCCACTGGACATCATCTGGGCCCCAGAGTGTAAATAAGCGCCACCCAGCCTAGGCCAGGTCACTGCCCCAAGCCCTACACCTCAGGGCCTGTCTGGGACGGACAACTTCCCCCAGACAGCCCTGGGCCCTCTCACTGTGGTCTCCACATGTGTCTGCCATACTTTCCCCAGAGCCCACACCTGCTTTCTTCACAGAGCTGGCAGGGACAAGCCCAAGGCAATGAGCAGACGGGTCTAGCCAGAGCGCAGGGCCTGGCCGCACCAGCTGGAGGCCTGGGTAGGCACCCAAAGTGGGCAGGTCTGAGCCCTGACAAGTTCAGCTCCCCCCATCTCCCTCATATATTCCCCACCTTGAGGAAGAGAGGTGAGGCCTTGATCGAGAGGCCCAAAGGAAGGGAGAATTCCCAGCCAAGGTCCCACAGGACAGAGGGCCAGAGTGGGGCTGGGTGAGTGCCACAAGGCCAATGGAGAAGGGGAAGGGGTTCAGAAAGCTGCCACCAGATGGGGGTGCTGGGATAGGGCAGCAGGCAGCCTGGGAACAAAAGATACCGCGGAGGGAACCAACCAAACAGCTTGGGGCCTGTACTTACTATGTGTCCTTAAATTCCCCCCCACCCAAGTAAACCTCACATCCCTTTTACAGGTGGGAGATGGTTTCAGAGACATAAAGCTAAGTGCCCAAGGTCCCACAGCTAGAAGTGGCCTAGTTCCATGGCCTTTGGCACAGGGGGACAGGATCGGCAGGGGAGCGGTGATGGGATTGGGGGGCCTGGGTGGAAGGCTGTTCTGGACCCCAGGCACGGCTTCATCAACTTTTTTGGGGCCTAGACTCCTGAGAGAACTTGCATCCAGCTACAACCTCTTCCCCCAAAACACACGTGCATGATCATGGATGCAGGTCTAACTGGAGGGGACTCCTAGGCTCCGGAGGTGGGGAAGTGAAAGGGAGGCCAGAGTGAGGATCAGGGTGAGGCAGAGGCCAGCCCCGCCGGCCGGCCAGCTCAGAAATGAGGAGTGCTGCCAGGTGTCTCCCCACGGTGGTGGCAGGAGCTGGAAGCTGCTGAAGAGCAACACTGGGAACTCTGACAGGCCAGGGAGGGGCTGCTGCCCACCACCCCGGGCCTCACCAGAGACACCCCCATCAGCACCCAGCCACAGCACGAAGGGCCCCCACCCCTGACCTCATAGCCGGAAGGCCCGTCGGTGGTGGCAACCCCAAATTCCAAAGGATATGGCACCCAGCCTCCTGGAGACCCCTTTCCACTCCCCCGGATTCACAGCCCAGGTCCCCCAGTACCTGTCCTGAGGCTGGTGACTGGTTGTCATAGTGATGGCGTTCTTGGTTATGCCTGGCTGATAGCCTCCTCCCTGCGGTGCTTGCTGGGGGCAGAGGCAGTGTGAGGTCCTGTCTTGGCCCTGCTTCCCCACAGGCCTCTTCAGACTCTTGGCTGGGGGGTGAGGAGGGCAGGGCAGACAGAACGGGCAGTCTGTAGAGTCCAGAAGGCCCCACTCCCGGCCCTGCCTCTCAGGACTGCTCCCTCTGACCCCTTGGGCCTGGCCCGCTGGGCACCCCTGCCTGCTCAGGCTCTACCTGGCTCCCGGCCTGGCCTGGCCACTGCCACCGCTATTTTTATCCAGCAGTTGAGGCAGTTTGTAAGCAGGGCAACAGGAGGGTGGAGAGCAGGAGGGAAGGAGGAGGAGGTTCGGTAGAGAGGGAGAGAAAAGCAGTTAAAGGCAGGGGAGACAGCGGGAGGGGCAGTGATGACAATGAAGTGGGGACAGAAGGAGGGAAACAGAAAGGAGATAAGAGGGAGAGGATAGGGGGAGGGAGGAGGGAGGACACAAAACAAACAGATCCGCAAGAGCAGCAGCCTCAGGGGTGATGACGGAGGCCAAACCAGCGAGGCCTCCCTCCCCAGCTCTCTCTGCAAGTCTGACCTCTCTGCACTCCCAGGGAGCCCCTGGACTCATGGCTAGGGTGGGCTTTGGAGAGCCTGTCCCCTCCTGGGGGGCACCCCAGACTCCAGCCTCTCTGCTGGTGGCACCCTAACCATCCTTTCCAGCCACTGCCCAGAGGCTCCCTGGTTCCTGGCCAGTCTTCCAGGAACATACTTCAGGATGTGTGTGGGGACCCAGCCTCTCCCCTGACCCCCAGTCCTGGCCACAGGGTCATCCCATCCCCCCCGGATTCCTCTCTGACTCACTCCCATGTCCTCTTCCCCTTTCTGAGAACAAAGTTGGAAGGAAGACTGGAGGGATGGGAGCAGAGGCTGCCTTGTCCCCAGGCACCCAGCCTCCTCCCTCAGTATCCCTTCCCTGCTCGGGCAGGGAGAGGCTCCCTGGAACCAGCAGAGGAAACAGCTTTCCCTCGGATGGCATAGAAAGCCAGGCAGGCGTATGCTGGCGTGTCCCCAACGTGTGGGCCTAGCTCTGGAGCTATAGCTCTACCGTTCTGGGCGAGGACTGGCTTCCTTGCCCACCAGGACCAGCACTCAGACTTGCCCAGACTTGCCAGCAGAAGGGTGGGGGCAGAGGGGGCCCGGGCAGTTCGTGGGAGGTGGTCCTAGCGCAGGCAGCAGGCCTTGTCCATGGGCTCCTCCAGAGTAAGGGTCTAGAATGAAGGTGGCGACACAGGGCATATCAGGAGAGAACCTCCTAGGCCTCACTGTGGGAGGGAGCAGCCCCATTCTGAGAAGCCTCCACACAAACACAACCAGGGAGATAAAACCCAGCCCTGTAGCTTGGGAGATAAGACAGCCAGCAGGGGAGCTGAGGGGGTAGGTCAACTCACAGGTGCAGCCAGTGCTCCAGGCCCCAGCCTGAGACTACAGCCCTGGGGACCCCAAGAAAGGACCGTGATGGGCCTTTCTACCCCCCCAATAATTCCTCTCAACCCCTCCCTGGGTAAACTCCAGCCTCTCCAAGGCCTTCCTCAGCCCCCCAGCCCACATCTGGGCCATAGGACAGGGAGGGGAGGGGCAGACCCACACAGCTCCAGCTGGAGGCACTCTTCCTTTCCACAAATATTTACCGAAGACCTCTGCATGCCAGCCAGGCACTGTTCTAGGCACTTGGGACAGTGGTGAATGACAGTTTATACATTTTCTAGAAGGACGGGGACGAGAGGGCTCTACAATGGGGTGTGGGCAGAGGAGGTGAGGGGACTCCCCAGCTTCTCACCTCACCCTAACCTGTGGTCCACCCTCACCCCGCCACAGGCAAGATTCCTGGCAGTAAAGAGCAGGTGCAGCTTCAACGCAGGCGGGAGATGGGGAGGGGGGCGGAGAATAGAGTATCTCCCCTTCCTCAGTAAAATCTCTCTTAGGCTCAGAGGAGTATTTCTTTGTGCTACACCCCTGCTCTCTGTTCTCAACTGTCCTCACCCCAGTCCTGGGCACAATTCAACTCCAGGGGCAGCCCGCTCCCCCTGCCCACATCCTGACGTTCAGCCGACCAGCCCAGGTATTTTGTTTTTGTCTGCCTTTGCCCAACAGCAATCAGGGATTTGATACCAGCTCAGAGCATCTGGTGCTCCTCAGCCATGCCTTGGCCTGCCGAGATGAGGCCTTGAAAGCAGCCACCAAACTGAGCGCCTCCCCAACCCCAGGCCCCAAACACCTCTCATACACCGCAGCTTCTAGAGACACCCCTGTGGTAGCATCAAATTCACCACTTCCTTGGATCCCACATGGGGCCAGCCACCACCTGGAGGTAACTTCTCCTGCCCCTGGTTGCCCTCACAACCACCATAAGCGAGTACAAAACTGTCTCCACTAGAACAGACGAGGACAGCTGAAGTTCACAGAGGTTGAGTCATTTGCCAAAGGTAACAGAGCTAGTGAATGGGTGAGCTGGAATTCAAACTCAATGTGCAGCTTACTCTAGGCTCCTTCTGGGGTGGGGAGGGAGGTATAAAGGCTGTTTCCCAGCCAGCCTCCTATACTGAGAGACAGGGTAACTCTACTCCAAGTAAGGGGTTAAAAATAAGGTAGGGGTCGAGGTCATCTCCAGCCTGAACTAAGTGTCAGCTGTAAGGCACTCCCCCACCCCATTACACACACATCCTGGCAAGGAGAGCTCACACAGGCAGGAGGACAAGGCAGGAAGGTCTGGAGGTGATCGAGAGGAATGGGCAAAGGGACGGCCCCAAGAGGGGTGAGGGGCAGGGGTGAGACCAGCCCTCCTCCACCACAGCTCTCCCCTGGGAAGAAAATCTGGGGTATGTCTTTGTTCTTTCTCTGAGTGAAGCAAGGGTCCTCTCTCCGGGAATAAATGAGGACGCGCCCAGGAAGGGAGGCCAGGTACACGAGTTCGGCCAATAGAAGGCGGGGGTTAAAGAGACAGCTCCTCCACCCCCATTCCCTGCACCCAGCGCAGTTAACGGTGCGGCCCCTCCGCAGTACCAACGACAAGAATTGATCGAGATTAACCTTCAACTCGCCCGCCCCGTGCAGAGGTCAGCTCGGCGACAACCGGTTTCAGGCCCGGGAGCCAGGTAGTCCACGCCCGCTCGGGTCCCGGTCCCCGCAAGGTGCCCCTGCGCCCGGGCCTAGGCGCGCCACGTGCTGCGCGGCTCCGCACGCTCAGCGCGGGGGCGGGGTGGGGCCCACCCGGTGGGGCCCACCCCGCGTCCCCTCCCCCGGCCGCGAAGCTGCCAGGCCCGGCCTCCCTGCTCTCGTGGTAGGCGGCAAGCGGCGCCTTCCACCCCGGCGACCCCCGGCCCCCAGTCCCCGGGTAGCACCTGCTGGGAAGGAGTCCTCCCGCGTGGAGGTTTGCGCGCTCTCCCTG